CTCCTGCCTCCGCCTCCCAAGTAGCTGGGACCACAGGCGCCCGCCACAACGCCCGGCTATTTTTTGGTTGCAGCCATCATTGTTATTTGGCGGGTCCAGGTTGGGGATTCGAACCCACCACCTTAGGTGTACGTGGCTGGCGCCTTAGCCGGTTGAGCTATAGGCGCTGAGCCCGTTGATGGAAATTAAAGAAGACCTAAATAAAGTATACCATGTTAATGGATTGGAAGTCTCAGTATTGTTATGACAGAAGTTCTGTCCACGTTGATGTACAGATGCACTAAAATGCTAATCAATATCCCAACAGGGTTATTATTTTTTTTAGAGACAGAGTCTCACTTTATCACCCTGGGTAGAGTGCCATGATGTCACAGCTCACAGCAACCTCCAGCTCTTGGGCTTAGGTGATTCTCTTTCCTTAGCCTCCCGAGTAGCTGGGACTACAGGTGTCCACAACGCCTGGCTATTTTTTTGTTTTTGTTGCAGTTTGGCCGGGGCCAGGTTTGAACCCACCACTCTCGGTATATGGGGCCGGTGCCTTACTCACTGAGCCACAGGAGCCACCCCAACAGGGTTTTTATAGAAATCAGAAAGCTGACTTTAAAATGTATATGGACATGCAACAGACCTAGAATAACAAAGAAAATCCCAAAGAGAAGTTGGAGACTTAACCTACCAGAAACTGAGATGTTTTGTAAAGACAGAAATTAAAACAGTGTGGTAATGGTGCAAGAATAGATGAAGAGAACAATGGAGCAGTACAGTGTCCAGAAACAGACCCACATGTAAAATCATTTGATTATGACAAACTCTCCATTACAATGCTGTAGGGAAAGGATAGTCTATTTCTTGTCTTTTTTGAGACAGGGTCTCACTCTGTTGCCTGGGCTAGAGTACAGTGGCATGATCACAGCTCACTGCAACCTCAAATTCCTGGGCTCAAGGGATCCTCCTGCCTCAACCTCCCTAGTAACTGGGGCTATTGGTGTGCACCACCTCACCCAGCTTATTTTTCTACACACATTTTGTGGAGATGGGGGTCTTGCTATATTGCTCAGGTTGGTGGTTAAGCTGGTCTTGAACTCCTGGCCTCAGGCAATCTTCTTGCAAGTTGGCCTCCCAAGTGCTGGGATTACAGGTGTGAGCTACTACATCCAACAGGGGCTTTGTTGGGGGGGTGTCTTTTCCAACAAATAATGCTGAGGCAATTAGATATCCATACAGAAGAAAATGAACCTTAACCTTAATCTATACTTCACATCAGAAATGGATCAGAGCCCTTAATGTGAAAGGTAAACAAAACTGGATTAAAATCAAGGTTTAAAGTAAAAACATGTCCATATGGATATAGATAGGAGGAAAAACACCCTTCTTACCGAAGAATTCCAAATAGTAAGACAGATAGATGGTTCTCCCTCTCCTTGAGAGCAGGCTAGAATTAGTGACGCACTTTTTTTTTTTT